CTATTTAGAAAACACTGGTACTCCCGAAGATTGGGAAAATGTTTTAATGGTAAACAACTTCAATGGTGATTTTTTTAATCCGTTGGAAGATGTGTTGCAGGCTGTGTCTTCCGCCGCAATTGCTGAGGTTGCCCGTGGCAATAGGGAAGTGCAGGACGCTATTGCGCAGGAAGGAGCGATTCCCCACCTGGTGGCTCTGTTCAAAGGAAAACATCTTAGTGTCCAAATGAAAGGTGCAGTGGCTGTGGAATCACTGGCAAGTTACAACCCTCCAATACAGAAGGCGTTTCTGGAAAATACATTAACTAAATATCTTTTAAAACTCCTAAAGGTATGCGTTTTATCATTGCTCAGATGACGTACTCCACTTCGAATTCTTAGTAGAATAGAATAGCAATGGGATAAACCTTTTATGAAACGTGCATCCCTAAAGTGTCCAATAAATGTTCACTGAGTGAATTGAATGTTTTGAACAGGCATTTCAGATAGATATTAAGGAGCAAGGAGCTGCGGCGCTGTGGGCTTTGGCAGGACAAACTCTGAAACAGCAGAAGTACATGGCGGAGCAGATCGGATACAACTTTATAATAAACATGCTTTTGTCACCCTCTGCCAAAATGCAGTATGTTGGTGAGTTTTTCTTCGAAACGCAAATCTGCACAGTGTATCAGGACGCAGGGGCATCCCGTCTGTCTCTTCCTTTTCTTTACCAGGAGGTGAGGCAGTCATAGCCCTAAGTAAGGACAGCAGGATGCATCAAAATCAGATATGTGAGGGCAATGGAATCGCGCCGTTGGTTCGCTTACTGAGAATTAATAAGATCGCGGAAGGCACACTTCTCAGCGTCATCAGAGCTGTGGGGTCCATTTGCATCGGTTCGTGCACCCATTCTCAACTTCTCAAAAATCTGTAAGAAAAAGAAAGGACGTAGGAAGAGAGATAGAAATTAATCTCTTCTCTACCCCCGCAATCAGAGCCCTTAACCATATTTAATCTCTAAAAAATGTGTAAAAAGCTTCTCTAAGACCTTGGGGAGGAAAACCAGTGTAATTAAGGATTTTATATCAGTCTTACTCTTGAACTCTGGATAGAATGGAAAATGAAGACAAGCACCTTCATTATTGACTTTAACAAATCTCATTTTTTTAACTTTAAGAGAAAAATATTTTTCTTTTGGATTTCAAGAACTATATGTGACTATAGAGCTCAAAGTTTCAGGACTGGGGCATATTTTTCAATTCCAATCTCTTTCCATAATAATTCTTTGTTTTATTTGTTTGTTTTTTGGTACCGGGGATCGAACTCAGGTCTTTTCGCTTGTGAGGCAGGAGGCAGAACCACTGAGCTAAATCCCCGGCCCAATAATTCTTTGTTTTAAAGTGGGCTTTCGGCCAGGGCTGCCACGCCTGTGATCCCAGCACTCAGGAGGCTGAGACAGGAGGATTGCTGCAGAGATTCAGGCCAGCCTGGGGTATATAGTGAGTCTAAGGCCAGCCTGAATTACAGAGTGAGCCCCTGTCTCGAAGAATCCCCCAAATAAAAATAAAGTGATTTTTCTTGGAAAGGAGTTGACATTTTTTTCAGTGCCTGAAAAATGTGGAAGTGTCAGAAATTGACCTATGAAAAATAAATATTTGGGTTCTTTTCTAATCTTTATGAATGCAGAGGACTAATTGTAGACTGTTTCTTACAAACAAGAAGATTCTTGATTCTAAGTAATGATGTTTCCTTACAAATAATCCAGATGAATGAAGAACATAGGAATCGACTCTAACATTTTCCTTCTCCTTGCTTGTGAAATGGCTTTTAGATGTTCACTGATCTAAGGCAATCAGCCATAGAAGATAGTGTTCCTTTACTTTTTTTGTTTTTTGTTTTGCCAGAGACTGTGGTATAAAATATAGGCATTTATAGCATTTTAGAAATTGATTATATACATGTATATACACATGTACATATACACATATATATACAAATTTGCCTCACACACGTATGCTTGCACTCACCCACGCCCACGCCCACGCCCAAACACAGTTCTCCTCATTAGCTCACTTCAGATCTGTCCCTATGGGGGGAGGTGGAGGAAAGCAAGGAAATAAACATGTTCTCTACCTCCCCTTCTTCCCCAGTCCCATCACGCCTCCCCAGAAAACAGTATGTGCACGGCTTCTCCGAGGTACAAGGCATATTTATATTCGAGTATATAAACCTTGACATTTATTATGACATTCACTGGCAAAAAAACCCACACCGAATTAAAATTGTTTGAGTATATCTACCAAGAAGAGATGACCAGAGTTTTTGAGGTCCATAAGCTTTTTTTTTTTGGTACCAAGGATCGAACTCGGGTCCTTGCGCTTGCGCAGCAGACGGTGAAACCACTGAGCTAAATCCCTGGCCCTCCATAAGCTTTCTTGAGGGACATAACAACTCTAAATACCTCAATAAATGGTACCATTCCTTGATAATATAGGATTTTTCTCATTTATTTGCTGTATTGGAAAGCCATTCACAATTCTAATAATAAAATCTCCATGTTCAGTCACTGTGCTTCTTAAAAAATTAATATAGAACTATCAAAATAGTGCCAATGTAGCATTTACTTTTGTGATTTATTAATGATATCACCTTAAGAAAATCCAATTATCAAAACTGTGTTTGACTTCACTATTTATAAGATTTTAAAAATTAACTCATTGACATGTAGATTTTTATAGGTATAGCCCACACAAGCAATCCCATTAGTCAACAATTTATTGTGGATGAAAATGCCTTTCCAGTACTTATCCAGCTACTGAGGGATCACCCTTCACCTACCATTAAGGTATATATCAAGGGTTAAATTTTTTTAATATAGTCAAAGTAATATACATATCATTTTAAAAAATAATTGGTATCTTAATGCAAGTTCACAACATAGAAATTTCATCTTTTAAGGTTTACCTAAAACCTTTTGTTTTAAACAAAAAAGGTTGCTACCCACCATAAACGTAGTAAATTTTATTAAAAATATGATTCCTTCAGATATGACAAAAAAGTCTTATGTCCTTATGCTTTAAAGAAACATTTTTCTGGGCTGGAGGAGATTTAGCTCGGTGGCACTGCGCCTGCCTCACAAGCGTTTAAGGTCCTGAGTTCGATCTCTGGTCCAAAAAACAAAAACAAAAAACATTTTCCTCAGATATTTAATTACATATTCACAGAATATCTTTACTTTGTCAGATAGTGATGTTTAAAGCTGAGTGGGAATAGTGAGGGCGAGGGCCTCCCATGACAATATTTCTCAAGTACAAGTGAACACTGTCAATAGGACGCTATCCAAGCAGCTCCTCTGCCCTGCAAGATGTTTGTTATGAAAAGGTGCCGTAAGTTATGTGGTCTTTCTGGACACGAAAGAGATTATTGTAAGAGTTGATTAGAGAAACACAAGGAAGAAACATATGCCAGCAATGTTTTGGCTTGAATTATAATTAAAAACTACACTGAACTTCCGTGTACAAGTAAATGTCTTAAAACTATGGAAAAGTGCCAGGAAAAATACATTTTTATTTTATTTTGGTACCAGGGATCGAACTCGGGACCTTCAGCTTGCGAGGCAGGCAGCGGAAACACTGAGCTAAATCCCGGGGCCAATATGTTTTTATTTTAAAATGTGCATTTTCGTGGCAAAACAGTTTACTCTGTCCATCTATATTTTATATATTTTCAATACTTCTCTGCAAAATAAGATTCTATAATGGACAAAATATTTCACAATAATTCAATAATCATGCTTTTCAAATTTTTAAAAAACTTATCTGAGTCCCAATAATATACAAGGTTCACCTTCCAATGGGCCTCTGAATGTATGTTAAATGACAAAATCTAGAGGAGAAAACAAATGATTTTTTAATTCTACAAAGCTTTGCTTAAATTAATAAGTATTCCATTAAAACTGTACAACTCGATGATCAGTAGCCAACAAGCAATTTCAAACAGCTTTCTAACCCAGGCCAGAAAACATTCAAAAACACTTTTTTTAGATATGGAAGGAATACAACTATGCACTTAGGATAAGATCCCCTTCTGTACCCCGCTAACCCTGCTGGGTTCCCCTAGTGCCTCAGAGCTCTGCTGTTAACTGCACAAGGAAAGGAGGATATTTTCCAGCTGTTGAAAATTATGAACACTGTTCTGCCACAAGTTACATTACTCTTTACTGATCAGAGAACTAGAACAAATGTATTAGACTTCAGCAGATTTTGCAGTATCTTCCTATAATATATCTTGTATAAATGTTTATACAATGAAGGAAAAATAATATCTGAAAACCACCTATTTAGGTTGAAGCGGCATTTTTCTTGGCATGCATTGTCCTCGGGAATGATGAACTACAGAAAGAATTACAAGACAATGAAGGTTTTAAGTATTCTGACATCCTCTATCTTCTTCATTCAACAGATAAGGTAAAAACCTTTACAAAATATTCGAGCTCATTGAGAAGAGAATAGTTTTTAGACCACAATCTCAAATTATCCCCAAGCCTCTTTCATGGCAGTAGTCAAATGTATTATTTAAGATAAGAAATGTAAAAAGTCTCCTTGTAGCTCACCAGTTTGTAAAGGTGTAATAACACATATTTTATACATTATTTACAATAGTATTTTTTGTAGTTGTGCCCTTTTATCTTTGAATGCAACCATTTTAGTGCATGGTGCAGTGCCAGAAAACAAATTTCTTCTGTTCTGAATTCAATCTTAAACCTAATTTTATGCCCTTTCGAGCCTGTTATCTACCTCTTCCACAATACTCTGAAGTGATGGTTCTCAAACTATTTGTGATGAAGAAATAAATTATTCCTAACAATCTGTTAAGGGAAGATGATTTTAGAAGAAAAAACCCCAAAAATTTAAAAC